CCACCCTCCTCGTCCTCCCAAAATGCTGAGATTACAGGCATGAGCCACCGCACCCGGCCAAATAATCTCTTTCTTTATGTCCCTTAGCATGTGCCACAATGCTAGGCATATAACTAGGACTCCAAGAATACTTATTGAATGGTACTAAAATCTGGGAAATGGACAGAGAGAGTTCAAGAGATCCAACTTGGTTTTCCATGGAATGGATTTTAATTTTTCTTAAAGTTTTTTTAAAGGATCAGAACCCTTTTCACAAATAAAATCGTACATACAATTTCAACAAAAAAAGATAAAAAGGAGTTTGCTCTGGTTGAGGTGGTGAGGGGAGGGGGAGAGGACACGCATACCACCCCTTCCTTGCCTCCTCAGCCCAGGGAGGAAATCCAGGCCTTTTCCAAAACACGGTTTGAACCACATGGCCTCCCACTGGGTGACAAACTGATTTAGTCTCTAGTCCAGATTAGGCCACGAGTGGATGGCCTGGGGTTTTCAAAATCACGAGTTCAGACTAAAAGGTAGGTGACCTAGAGAAAAAGAATATTGGATAAATACCTGCAGAGTTCTAGCCCTGGCTGTTCTTGACAAAATCACCTGATCCTTCCTGTACAATGAAGGCTGGGACCATGTGGCCTCTGAGAACCCTGTCAAAACCCCAACCCGCTGATTTGCAGGGAGAGAAGGACACACAATTCTCAATGCCCAGGTTTAGGCCCGGAAGCCTCTGCTGCAGGCCTGAGTGGATCTGTGTAGTGGGAGTGTATTAATGGCCTCCCTCTGCCTTCCTCCCATCGCTCGTTCCTGTCCTTTCTCCATGCTGTCCTGTGCCCTGTGGTCAGTACCCCATTCTCTGGTCCCCTTTGACTCTGTGCTCTATATCTAACAAAGCTTATCTGACTTTTGCCATGGGCCCCAAGGCTGGCTCTCCTTTCCCTGGGTCCCAGCTCTCTAACAGGTTGGGACACTCACAATTCTCATCCAAAACCTGTTGTCTTATCTCTGACTAACTCTCTAATACCACTGAAATTATTCCTGGCTTACAACTCTGGCAAACACCGTTTATCACTCGAAGCCAAGAATTGGAGACAAGATGAAAAGATAACTCTGTTGAAAGGACTTCACTTCTTTTGCTCAATGACGGGCAGTTGGGCAATCAAATTTTTCTGTATCTAGAGTTAAGATAGCAGCAGAGGTAGTCATAAAAAGTAGCTTCACTGTGATTTAGCAGAAAGGTCACGGAGTTTGGAGGTGAAACCGTTGACTAGCTGTGAGACATTTGATATACCAAATGAGTTTTCTTGATTTAGTTTACCAACTATAAAGGAAGAATCACGTCACACACGAGTCTCACGGGACTGTTGTAAGGATCAAATGAGATAGTTTGCAAACATTTATTTATTATTATGAAATAGATCACATATAGGCCAGGTGTGGTGGTTCACGCCTGTAATTCCAGCACTTTGGGAGGCCAAGGCAGGCAGATCGCTTGAGCTCAGGAGTTTGAGACCACCCTGGGCAACATTAAATTGCCTTAGGTAATTAATAAATGCCATATATAGTGTTTGCTGTTATTTTTTTCCTCTTTAACCTTTGAATTGATTGTAAATCTATTTCAAAATTTCCAAATTCATGTGGAGGGCAGTTTCCAGTTACTTTATTTTTTATAATTTTATGTAATTTTGGCCAGAGGAATAATATTTATATATCAGTTCATTGAACTTTGTTGAGGCCAGCAGTTTGGCCTAGTATATCACTGATTAACATAAATGTTCCACATGTACTTAGAAATATGTGTTCTCCAAGAACAAGATTAGTGATTTTGCCATTTAAATCTGTACCCTTGCTAATAATTTTATCTGCTTGATCTAAAAAAGGTGCAGGCATTTTTAAAAGCAGGTAAGTAATCTAGGTGACATACTGGCTATTGTTTAGAAAGACCACTCTTACAAAGTTTTCTTTTAAGGCATTTTATTTTAGAATAGTTTTACATTTACAGAAAAATTGTGAAGAGATTTCCCATATATCCTACATCTACTTTCCTGTAATTAACATCTTATATTGCTATGGTACATTTGGTATAATGAACCAATATTGATGTTATTAACTCAAGTCCTTGCTTTATGCAGACGGCCTGAGTTTTTACCCAATGTCCTTTTTCCATCCCAGGATCCCATCCACATTACATTGAGGCATCCTGCCTCCACTATTCTTGGATGTGACCGTTTCTGAAACTTTCCTAGTTTTTGATTACCTTGATGGTTTTGAGGAATACCGTAGAATATCCCTCAACTGCAATTTGATGTTTCTCTCATGATTGGACTAGGGTTTTGGTTTTTGGAAGGAAGATCGTAGAGGTCAAGTGTCATTCTCATGACATCATATCATGACTATACTGTCAACATAACCCATCACTGTTGATGTTAACCTTGATTACTTGGCAATAAAGTTTTTTTCTTTTCCTTTTTTTTTTTTTTTGAGATGACATCTCACTTTGTCACTCAGGATTGGAGTGCAGTGGCGCGATCTCAGCTCACTGCAACCTCCGCCTCCCGGGTTCAAGTGATTCTCCTGCCTCAGCCTCCTGAGTAGCTGGGACTACAGGTGCGCACCACCACGCCCAGCTAAGTTTTGTTTTAGTAGGGAAGGGGTTTCATCACGTTGGCCAGGCTGGTCTCAAACTACTGACCTCAGGTGATCCATCTGCCTTGGCCTCCCAAAGTGCTGGGATCACAGGTGTGAGCCACTATGCCCAGCCTGGCAAGAAAGTTTTATACATGTGTAAACTACTATAATTTTTATTATAATGGAATGTCATTGTAATAATATTATGACGCAATGCCACAGACTAGTTTCCACAGACCAAGATTCTAGCCCCCTTTCTGCCACTAAATTGCAGTGTGAGCTTTGGTTGGTCACTTCACCGTTCTGATCCTCAAGAGTTTTTGTTGTTGTAAATCTGAACATGTTCTTTTGAAGTATCATTTTCATGTTTACAGTTACTTCTGAAATGCCTTCTAAACAATGTGCAGTTTTCAGGTTACAAATTTTGGTAGTCACCCTCCAAGGTGTCCCCAGTGGCTAGGGCTGACCATTGTTACCAATAGGCTATTGTGGAGATGATGCTGTGTGACATCTGAGGTTAGATAATGAAAGATATTGTGGCTTCCACTTTGTGCTCTCTTTACTCACTCACTTGGAGAATCAGCCACTATGTCATGAACACTCTGACACCTCTAGGGAAAGGTACACATAGGAAGGCGATGAGGCCTCCTGCCAATACCCAGTACTGACTTGCCAGTGGTTGAGTGAGCCATCTTGGAATCAGAGCCTCCAGCCCCAGTCAAGCCTTCATATAGAACCACCCAGCTAAGCTTTTCCAAAATTGCTGAACACCAGCAACTGTGTGAAATAAATCTTTGTAGGTATTAAAAACAAAACCAAAGCGTTAGATTCCAAGACTTTGAAACTGTTCCAGCGTCCTCACGGGTGGAGGGGAATATGGGAAGGGGTGCTGCTGGCTTGGCTCCCAGATTCCTCCCCCACGGAAACCACAGCAGCTCTGCCTGTATCTGTGTTACATATTGAGGACCCATGTAGATTTTCTTTTGAAGAATGGAGTCTGCTGCCAAAAATAAATTTGAAAACGCTGGCTTAGAGAAACAATGGATTAGATGACCTCTGTAGTCTTTTCTGTCTCTCACATTCATTTCACCTATCAGTATGAAACAGATAACTCTTATAAGCCCATGGGCAGTATTTTCTTCTTGCCATGAAATACAATCCTAGGGGTAGGAAACAAAAACTGTGTGCTGCTCACTGATAAGTGTGTCAGGAGAATCCGTTCCTTTGTGTGAGGATGGAGTGATGTTCCTGCAGAGAAAAAAGCCCCTCTCAGGGCATAGCTCTACCCTCTGGGGCACCACCTGCCAGCCTTGAGGGGCTGGATAGGTTTGCCTCTGTCGTCAATGTTTGATTATAATGATATTAACAATATCAACAATAATGGCTAGCATGTTTTGAGTGCTGTGTGCAAGGCCTTGGGACAGGGGGTTTTACATTCATTATCTCATGCAGTCTTCATGACCACGATGAGGTAGGCATTTTGTAGGATGAGGAAATGAAGGCTGATAGATTAAATGAATTAGAACTGCAATTAAGAGTCTATAGTCATAGAACTCTCGGCCACCATTCGGTGAATTATGGGCCAGGATCAGAACTGAACAGCTAGCATTTGTTAATATATACTGATTTCAAAACTTGGGGGTTCTAATAGGCATTATAAGAAAAACTCTTCGTTTACTCACTTATTCATCAACTGACATTACGGAGAGTTTACTCTGTGCCTAGGAGGAATTCTAGAAACTCGATAGAAGGGTGTGGAAAACAGAAGCTGGCCCCTCAGGCTACACTGGGATTTGGGGCTGTAAGAGGACCTGAGGAGCCATCAGCTGCTTCCACTGCCTTCAAGGGCCAGAAGGACTTGGTATAACCTAGGGGGCTGGATCCTAGAGAGCCGTGAATTCCCAGAACGCTCCTCCAGGGAAATCTTCCTGGGCTGAATCCAATACTGACTGTGCTCATCCTGGCTGGGCACCCTCCCAGGGTCCTGCCCATGAGCCCCGTGAGAAACCATGATAGACAGCAGCAAGGACATTGCACTATAGCAGTTTGTGCAATTTTATCAACATAAGGGACACAGTGTTTGAGAAACCTTGTTCTTTGAAATCAGATCCAGAAAAATGATGCTGTTTGAAATCAAGTCTCTGGAGGCATTGTTCAGAGATTTTCCAAAGCAGATCTTACTTGCCCATGTGATTTAACATTTAGTTCCGTCTTTCCATTGGTCTCATTATCTTAACAATTCTGCTCTTTGGAACATTATTTTGGTAAAATCCCAGTTTCATGAATGTATGTTGTGCCCCCAACTTCACCAGAGGCAAAGGTCCCCAGAGATGAGGCCAGAACCATTGTTCTAACACTGCCACTGACTTTGCTCTCTGAAGGGTGACTTCATTCATCGTGACGAGTCCACCAGAGTCCTGAGGCTGGGCTGGAGTTTGTCCAGGAAGGTGTAGCGGTTTTGATTCCACAAGGGGAAGGAAGAATGGAGCTCTCCACTGGTGAATGAAGCAGCACCTGTTTTGATCCACAGACCTTCTTGCATCCACCTGCTCCTTGGATGAATTGTTAGTGGAATGAAGCTGGTCCCACTGAGCTCCACAGCCTCGCCTTCTGCTCCCTAAGCCACACTTTTCAGCATACGAGCAACAGGCCTTACCTGAGCCCGAGTCGCTGACTGCTGAAAATACGATTGCAGCTTCAAAATGCAGAACCAGCTGTTCTCCCTGTCATTTGTGGCATGACTTAATTCGCTTCCTCCTCCTCCACTGCAAGCAAGGCTCCTAAAGGGCAGTCCTTAGAAAAATTCTGAGGGTTCTGTTGGAAAGTAGGGAGGGGAGGCAGCTTGCCTTTTATCTTGTTTATCTAGATCTAGAAGGCAGGTAACCGATTTAAACACTTACCAGTGACTACCTTATTTTTCCAAAGAGTGTTGAAGCCAACTGGGGAAACAGTGGGGATCAGGTCAGATGATTTGATGTAACTGTTGTAACAAAAAATCTACTCATCATCATCAGAGGGTGACATAAGAGGCCTGCAGTTTAACTCGGGATAAGGTGTGACCTGCACACTCTGACAGGGGAACCTGGACCACTGTAATCAGCAGATGCCATGAGGGTCCCAGGCCCAAGGCTGCCAGGTAGTGAGGGCAGCCTGTGCAGTGGGGCTCTGGGTTCTCCACTGGGCTCAACCCCAGCTGCAAAAGGGCGAGGTGTGCCCTTCCATCCCTGGGTGAGGGCCAGGAACCACCACTGCCCAATTAACTATACCTTTAGAGGTACATCTTAAACACAGATCACCTGTAAAGCAGTTAATGTGACTTGATCATGGGGGTCCTAATTATCCAATAAACAAGGCCAGCCACAAAACAACCTAACTTGAAGTTTCAAGTCGGCACTTGTCTATTCCATTCCTTTCTTGGCCTTTGTCAAACTTAACTCTGGATAAAGAAACAGTAACAAAACAACAGCATTCTGCCGCAAAGCCTTTACTTTTGCAGCCCTATTTCATCCTTATCCAATCGGAAGCTATTTATTTATGCTTTTCTTTCCTGTCGTCTAGACAACAGGCTTCAGGAAAGCAGTTTCTCTCAGGTTGTGATGCTTAGTAAACACCGACTTCGGCCTTCACACATGGAGCAACCAAGGAATCTGTGGAATCGAACATGGGCTTACCCTAAAGCTGTGGCTCAGCCTTGGCTGCACACTAGAATCACCTGGAGAGCCTGTACACTCCCACTGTCCTGGCCACAGCCCAGACAATCAGATCAGCCTCCAGGGCGAGGTCCAGACATCACCAGCCTTAAACCCCCCGAAGGTGACCCGGTATACAGCCAGGATGAAACTCACGGCCCTAAAGCTAAATGGGTAAAGTACTGGGGTGGGGGGCCCCCCACTTGTAGATGAGGACTTGTAGAAAAGCCAAGTCCTCACTCCTTTTGCATCACTGACGGGCCTGCTTTACGGGTTATCTGGAAAGTGATGGTTGAAAGTGAGTAGAAGGTTGCTATTGTTTTAAAAAACCAAAGCTCACAAAACCAAGCTCACAAAAGCACTTTTTATTTGAGGCAAAGAGAAGTCTTGCCGAAAGGATTATAGTTCCAAGCAGTCAAAACTCAACTGTTAGTAGCACTATTTTGACCTGGTAGATTTTGCTTCTCTTTGGTCAGAAAAGAGTATTCAGGTTGTACTTTCCCCAGCAGGGCAAAAAGAAGGGCAAAGCAAACTAGAAGAGACTCCTACTCTACTGACAGGGCTCTTCAGATCCCACATCAAGCTAGACACGCCCTCGCTGGCCACTCTACAGGTTGCTGTCCTGCTGCCGAGTGACACAGGCCATACTACATTTTCAAGAAAAAAAAATGAGGCAGGAAACACAGGTATAGGTCACTTAGGGATGAGCAGGCATCCACAGCTTCAAAACTCCTCATGGAAGGGGTAATCCTTGTGGGAGGCACAGCTGTCAGGAGAAAGGAGAAAACAGTTGCTTTTTGAAGAGGTGATTTTGACTATACCCAACTCCCAACAGAGAAACGATGTGTCTCATTGAGATGTGTCTCATTGAAGAAAGAAAACAGAACCTCAGAGGCAACAAGCTAGTTCTGAATCTGCAGATCACGGTTCTGCAGCTGGGGGAAGCAACTCACCCTGCAGACCCCTCTACCACTACTGTCACCAAGCGGCACACGTGTGAGGGACACCCCCTCCCCATGTGCCCAGCACTGTGCCTGGGCCATGCAGGATGGCAACACGATTTCTGCCTCCTAGTAACTCAGTCTAGTTGGCAGGACCAGACAGCATCTTGTGGTCTTAAACAATAAGAGGGTGTAATAATATCAGAAGGTAGGCCAGGCACAGTGGCTCACGCCTGTAATTCCAGGCTGAAGCGAGAGGATCACTTGAGGCTAGGGGTTTGGGACTAGCCTGGGCAACATAGCAAGATTTCCATCTTAACAAAAAAATTTTAAAAATTCACCAGGCATGGTGGTGCATGCCTACAGCCCCAGCTACTTGGGAGGCTAAGGGGGGAGGATCGCTTGAGTCCAGGAGGTCAAGGCTGCAGTGAGCTGTGATCATGCCATTACATTCCAGCCTGCGTGACAGAGTAAGAGCCCATCTCAAAAAAAAAAAAAAAAAAAAAGGGATGTTGAAACTCTGTATGTGACTGAATCTCTAAGGATAAGAGAAGCAACGGCAAGTGCTCTGAGGACGGAGGGAGCCTCCTTGTATCAGTGGGGGCTGAAGTGAGCACAATCAACAGTTGGAAATTTTATACTGGAAACAGGGCAGGGAGCACAGGTGCAGACGTCTTTGCCAAAGCTCACCCACTGTCCATCTAGTAAGGCCAATGGCTGTGCTGGGAACATAAAGGCAGGAACGCTGGACAGATGGCTGAGCAAGGCATGCAAGGCCAGAGTTATGTAATCTGAGCTGGGTGCTTAGAGTCTGTAACTCTTATTCAAAACCGTTCAAAAGTTCTCCATGGCCTGCCTTTTTTGTGTACCCAAGGAGAGTGACACTGACATCAGCAGGTCAGGCTCAGTAAAGCAGTATCTGCCAGAGGGGTGGCATGTGTGTAGAGAAAACTCCCTGGGAGACCTGGGCATGTCAGGGCTAGTCTCTTCCTCCCACTCACCACCACGCAACAGGATAATCGAACAGAGCTTTCTAGAACAATACTGGAGGGCAAAGGAGTCTAACTGTAAAGGGAGCAATGAGAAAACCATTGTGGTTCCTCAGCCCTAAGAGCTTCAATCCACTGTCTCAAGTGGGAGAGGAAAAGGAAGACGGATGAACGGGAGATTCTGAAAGGAGAACGAAAGTAGCTTGGTGACTGATTTATTCCTCTCCTCCTTGTCCACTAGATCCAAAAATGATTTCAATGTCTAAGGCTAAGTAGCATTAACAAAGATGTCTGAAAGGGTGCTGGCCTGGGGCTGCCTGTGACATGCTCTGTTTGTGGCCTGTTTTGAGTGTGAGGCCACAGTGTGGCAGCGGCAGGCTCTCCAGACACACGCATGCCTGAAGCAGGGCAAAGTTACCGTCCGCGACGCAGGCTGGGCAAACATCTGCCTGGGGCAGTGGCTGAAGCCACCAGCAGTGCAAACTCCAGGGACGGAGAGGGGACAGACTGGAAAGGAAAAGCTGGTGGCCCACCCCATCTTAGGGAATGTTCAAATTTTGCTTAGAAGAGGAAGTACTAAAGGAGAGTGTGTGGAAACAGAGAGCTCAGATGAGAGTAAGGGTAGTGAAAGAGAAACAGGGTCTTAGTCTCCACTGCAAAATGAGCAGTTCCTTCTTGAAAAGCAGAAAGTGACTTCCACGCGTCACCTAGTTATTGTAATGGTAGGAAAAGAAAAAAACCCCAGAAAACCTTCCTAGGCAGCTCCTTCCAAACTACCACGCAGAGGAAACAGAACCAGAGGATGTATGGCTGGAGGGATGGAGGTGCCTGCTGCTCAGAGGGAGGGCCTGTTTTGGAGCCATGTGGCTTACCAGGGTCAGAGCTGGGACTGTCTCAAACCCCAGCCCCAGGGGCTTCCGACCAAACCCCTTTCATTAGGGTCATTAAGACAAAAAGTCACAGGCAAATTCTTCCAGAGTTTGATCCAGGGTCACCTGGGATCACCTGGTTTGAGATGAACCACTAGGATTTTAAAATTAAATGCCAAAATATGTAGTTACTTCAGGCCAGGCCAACAATGCCCCGGGGTTAGAAGAAGATATCAGGAGCGGATCTCTTGGCATCTTGGCTTCATGCAGTTCAGCTAATGCAAGGTCTTGTGGCAGAGAAAGCAAGGTAATGTGCAAAGCAAGAACAGCTGTGACAGGAGCGCATGGGCGCTGAGGCCTGCAGGGATCACTCTTTTGCTCTGCAGTATCTGAGGATCTCCTGGGAACTGCTCCTCACGCTGGGGCTCACTCACCTCAACAAGGCACAGACCCTCCAGTTCCTGTTGAAGCTCAGTAAGGTGGTCATATCCTGGTTGCTCAGTTCAAAGTCAAAGACCTAAAAAACAAACAAAAAAAATCCAGTAAGCTCTGCAAATAAAAACAAAAGACGAAATACTGTGCAGGACCCAGATGTCTTCCATGGCTTTGAGCAGAGATGATAAACTGAACTTAGAAAAAGCTGATTATATTACTATTCAGGAAATGTGCATGTTGGGCTAGATAATATATGGAACGATGAAAACAGTCCTTCCTTTCCAGAACCTCCCAGGGAAATGATACATTTTATTTCATTTCAAAAAACACTACTGAGCACTTCTATTGTGATACGCTGCAGTGAGGAGTAGAATCATGGGTAAGATGTGTCTTTGCCTCTACTGATGAAGCAAACAAAGGGCAGAGGTATTTCTACAGCTGTGCCACAAATAACTAATCACACACTGTGTAACGCACTCAACAGAGCACAGGAAGGGCAGAGGTATTCCAAATGCATTCCAGCTGGGGAACTGAACCACCACAGCCGAAGAGGAGATGGTATTTGACATGGCCTAAGAAGTATAAGGTTCTGACAGGAAGGGCAAGAAAGGTATACTGGGAGAAGAGAACCACCTGCATGAAGGCAGCAGACGGTACAGAACTCAGCTGGCATGGGGGCTGGGAGGGAGGCAGGCAGGCAGGCAGCACTGGGTGAGACCCACATGAGGCCAACACACACTCCCAGAGCCGAAGGGCTCTTAGCTTCAGATGATCACAGAATGTGCAGAAAGTGAGTCTGCTACAGGCTCTGTGATTACGATCACAGAAAAATGTGCAAAAGTTACACAGTAAGATGCAAAAATAAAATGGGTTAGCATTTTGAGATTAGTCATTTATTTTTTCTTTCCTAATTCCTTAAAAAATGAAATATGAAACAAAGGATGCATCTCCGGTGGGCTATGCCTTTCCCTCAGTGGCCACGGTTTTGCCACTTTATCTTGTGTACTCAGAACATCTACCTGCACGTAAGAAGAAAACGTCTCCTCTACTCAACAATGAGCTCCACTTCCCGCTTCAGGGATCAATCTCATCCCTGTCTCATGCGTGACAGGTGGCAGGCATTACAGCCACGGCCTCTGGGCAGTGGAATCAGGCAAAACCAGTTGCTCACCTGAGCTGGGGCCTGCCCAAGAGCCCCATGCCCATGGTTGTGCTACGTGCGGCACAGATCTTGGATAAAGACAGCTTCCCTGGCAGAGCCACTTCGCTCCCTGAGAACAGAGCTTGGGCCATCAGGACTCCCCTGAGTTGCTCTCCTCTGGGCGTGCCCCCACCCCGACTCACCAAAGCTGCAAGGACGGGCGGGGAGGGAGGTGGTGCCCGGTAGCCTGAGCTGCTCCAGCTGCCACACTGAGCACTTTGCCTGTGCCCTGACACACGTCTAGGATCTGTCCATCATCACATGAACTCCTTGCAGAGCTGGTGAGTGGGCTAAATGGTCCAGAGGGTCCTTTGCGGTCCCTGGACTTATCAGCACAGCAACATTTCTCGATCACTTACTAAGGTATTAAGCACCACGTGAAGTGCTTTGATGCATCACTTAATCTTCGTAACAACCCTCAAAATGGATATTATTTCATAGATAGGGAAGCTGAGGCACTGAGCAGTTAAGTGACTTGCCCAAGGTTATGCAGCTGGTAACTAATAGTTTCAGCGCAGGGCAGGTCCAGGCAGTGAAGCTCAAGAGCGAGATTTTCTCTGGGTAACCTCTCGGTGTGGTTGAAGGGCCTGAGCAAAGGTGTAGGTGTGTGTGTGCACAGCACAGGGCCCTGGAGGCACAAGGCCTGGCTCTGCACATGACCCCACCGGTGAGGTGTCCGTCTCAGTCTATGGCTTGCTCGCCATGGCTCCCTGGCCTCAGAGGAGAGGACGGTGGGGATCCCACAGATGACACTCCAGGGACAGGATGAGCGGCTTCCCCCACCGCCCACTCCACGGAGGAGGGCCAGGCCTGACCAGCCAAGATCTTACCTTAAAGTTCTCAGCAATGCGTTCCGGTGTCACAGACTTGGGGATCACCACCAAGTTCCTCTGCATGGGGAACCGGATCAGGACCTGTGAGCCCAGGGAGATAATGAGTGTGTACACATGCTGGGCACTCGCACCATCATCACAGTGTCACACAACCCGCAGAAGGACATGCGAGAACTCCGCAGGTGATCAGAGAGGGCCTCCAAGATGGCAGGTCACAGCTAGCAACAGGTAGGCGACGCATTCAGGTCCAGATCTGACTCCAGAGTCCTGCGCTAGCCACCGTGCCACACGCTTCAGTATCTCAGGCATATCACGAGACCAAGTGAGGCCCTCCACTGGCTAGGAACGCACACTACCACTCAGGGGAAAGAACATTCCCTGCACAGCTGGTAAGAGCTCTTACATTTGTACAGAGATGAGCTTCCACATCAATGAACAAGTGCTGGCCCTTATGGCAGTCACCCTTGGGATAGTGGGGGCAGGCACTATTACTCTAAGAG